GTCGTACAGAGTAGTGTATTAACAGGAGGTTGTTTTTTCAGGTACTACACACATGACATTATGATGTAATGTGTACAGGTCCATGTGGGATTTGAGCCCGTCACTGCAAAAGGATTTTACCTTCATGTTCCGCAAACGCATAAACCTGTTTGCTAGTTTGGATGTGACTTAGACCCCAGCCACACAGGCTGGTGTGTGGCAACCAGCGGTCGTGAGGGAGCTGTGAAGGAGTTGTGAGTGGTTGCGTAAGATTGATGACAGTGCTTGAAAAATAATTGCTAAAGCACGAGTCACACAGGCTGGGAACCTTTGGGAAAACTGTATTCCTCTGCTGGTTGGCAAAAACCTTGGAATTGCTTTGGCTGCTAGCATATTGGCCTGAGCTGCAGTGACAACATGAAAGGTGCGCCACACTTTTCCAGATTTTACTGCAGCTCTGCTAGTAGTTAGCGAGTGTTTGCAGACAGCATCACGTAAGTACGGGCAACTGTGGAAATCTGCGAGCAACCAAAGCAATCACTGTGAGGTTTTTGGTGTATTTCCTTCTACAAAACAGAGTTCACACAGCAAGAGCCGGCAACTTCCAGGAGTCAGCTGCCAACTCGTTGGGGAATATATGTTTCCCTAGCAACTGCATCCAATATGGCAGACAGCTCTTGAGCAGTGCAATAATGATGTCACATGAGAAGCATCTTTTATTTCTGTGGAGAGAAAAAATTGTTTGATTTAGGTTTATTGTTTATATATTTACAGTTTATGTGTTTAACAAACTTAAAAACAAGAGAATCAAGTACACCAAGTAGTGTACAGTATTTAACGCAGTAACTCCCAAATCACTAACTGATGTTGAAATATTAATGCAGTGAAGCAAATGCGTGGACCGACCTCGGCTCGCTTCGTTCTCCAACACGTCGAGTTTTCAGTGTCCCAAGTTCAGCCTACATCACACCGTAGCAGGTGAGGCCTAATCTCTGTCAATTACGTCTATTTTTTCTTTCTTGCAACCAGAGGGATCGCTCGTCGTGGACTTTGTGGGTCAGCCGCAGCTCTTTTCAAACACGTCTTTACAGGTAGAAAAGCAGAAGTGAGTGGGTGGGGGGAGACAGCAGAGAGCTGGCCACGGGGATTGGAGAGATAACGATTAACAATGACGGCACTGAAGGCTGTTGTTTGTGCCCCGTGTTTGCAGTGTAGCCGAGGCCAAACAGACCCACTTCATTCAGACACACGTTTCTGAAGGAGCGCTGCGGCCAAAAGCGTAACTGCAGACGCTGACCCACTTTTCAGTTTTCTTGCTGTGCTCAATGAAGTCCTGCTCAGATTCAAAGAAATGTCAACACTCGATATTAATCAGAAACTTAATCGCTTTATGTAGCACTGAAGCACGCTGCTGAGGAGAAAACGAACAGTGGAACAAGACTATAAAAAGAATGTCTTCAGTTCTCAACACCTTATAGCTTTTTCTGTTTTACTCCTAACAGAGCCAGTGGCTTTACTGGTTACATGATGATTACATTAGTTTTACTGGGATTGCCACTATCAGTGTACATCACTATCAGTTTTAGTGCATTACAGTGTTTAAAATGAC